TACCATCCACCTTTTATGCTTTTGAAAACTTCTACTATAATACATATGTAAAAAGAAACAGTGAGACTACCAAAAGGAAGATATCTTAAAAAGTACTATTTTAACAACCATTGAAACTTCTGAAGAACTGAAAATCAAGGTCACTCCCATGAGGGTTCAGAACTTTAGCACTGTAATTGTGGTCAGTCCTTGCTTTGATGCTCAGGGGTAGTCTTAGAGTGAGAGCAGTTTTCTCTTTATTCAGATGCAGTCCAATTTACTTTAGCTCAAGATTCTGTCTTTTAAAATCTCATCCTGAACTTCTCGGAAAACCCGAAGGTCATGTTTACAGAATAGATGCACAGCGGGATTAAATAAATGTGGAGCCGCCTAAGCAGCAGGTCCTCTTCATTCTGCCAGAGAAGCTGTTAATCTTCGGATGATTATTTTTGTAATATAAAATATATATCTTGGATCAGGAAAACAAATTCCCCACCTGACACGCTCATAAACAGTTTTGTAAGAGCTAATTTTAGATTTGTTCCTAGCTTTTTTCATTGCATCATCAGGGACATTAAAAATTTTTAATAATGCTCCAGTGCTTCTCAAAACTCTCATTTAAGCAAACACAAACACTGCCCTGCACAACACAAACCAAGAAACGTAGTGGGGTTTGTGAAAAGCCGAGAATACTTGTATTTGTTGTCTTTCCTTTCTTTAGCTGAAGGATGAGCAGGGCAGCGCTGTGAAAAGTTGGTAATGTAAGATGATGCGATACATGGGAGAAGGTCAAAAACAATGACAACAACAAACAGGACAAAAGGAGTAAGTGGCATCATCATCCAAGTATCTGACACACTGTGGTTTCGCTGATGACTTTAACCACATTGTCCTTAGCCCTTACATTTCAGAGTGGTCTTCCTGTGTGTCAAGTTGTATCATTGGACTTTTAATTTCTCATTTATGGCAGCTTTGTAGCTCATAAATCCTTTTCGTATTATTATTTTACTTGCTTCTCATCATAACCCAGTGAGATAGGTAAAATGGGAATTTATCCACATGTTTTAGGTCCGTAAGAAGGATCACAGACTACAGTCATGCACTCCTAAGTGGTTTTGAAGCCAGAACTGGGGGAGGGGGGGGGCTGGGTGCAATGTATCCTTTTGCTTACCGGACTTTGAGTCAAAACACACACACACACACACACACACACACACACACACACACACCATTATTTAAAAGAAAAGAGGAACTTTCTTAGGAAATGTTTTTTCTCATGAAAACTGCTATTATATTTTTAGTCCTCCTCTTTTTGAGGTTGTTTAATATACACATGTGCTATTTAACTTAAACATAAATAGTGGTTTTTAAAAATGATAGCTTTTAAAATCATAAATATTTCAAGTTAAGGAAATAAAAGATATAAAAATTCAGTTTTCTAGGAAGAAGAATTAAGAGATTATATTACTTTACAAGGAAATTCTGAATAGGATTGCTTTATATAGCAAAATTCCTCAGCACATATAAGATATGTTGATTTATGAAAATCTGATTCATACAGAACTTTACAGGAATGCATCTGTTATATTAATCCACGCTTACCTGTAATTTACTCTAGAGGGAACAACTGAGTGATAATAATAATAACATACTCATATATTCTTCATTATACAGTTTAAAGTACTTTCCTCGAATTTATTGCATTTGTCTTTGGCAACCTTAAAAGGAAGGCAGACAGCGTATTATTATCCTTTCTTTACAGATGAGAAATTGAGAGGTTAAGTGATTTGCCCAAGGTCAGACAGACTATTCATTCATTTACTGCTATTTGAGTGATGTACTTTTAACGGGTAGTCAAGGAAGTAAGGTTCTTCCTCCTATTTTTTTTTTTAAACCAGATGTGAAGGCTATTAAAACAGAGGTGGATGATCTCACAATATATTGTTGAACGAAAGAAGCCAGACACAGAAGTGAACATACTGGATGCTTCTAGTAATATAAAATTCAAATAAATGCAGGCAAAAGGCAGACTATGGTGGCAGAAGGCAGAATAATGGCAAAATTAGGGAAGAAGGGGTGGCAACTGGAGTGTAAGAAGGGCTTCTTGATATGATAACATTTTATTTCTTGACCTGATTTTTGGTTGTATAGTTATGTTCACTGTGAAAATTCAGTGAGATCTAGACTTAAGATTTGTCTATTTTTCTTTAAGTATAGTGTAAAACAAGCATGTCAAACATGTGACCCTCAATGAATATTTTTGCTGCCCAGCCAATATAATGGTATGTAAGAAATGTCTTAATAAAAATTTCCTAATTTAATTTTTACAATATCTTGTTATACATAATTATTAATAACGAACTACAACGTTCACTAATGACTGATTATTGTCATTGTGTTGCATTCATTTTCCTTATGCACCTCATGCATAGGCACTCCATTTCTCCTCACTAATACTAGCAGTGAATATTTTAGCAGCCGATTGCCACGTCATTAATCTTGGACTGATTTGTTTGGTGTGCGCAACAGGAAATAGTTCGTTTTCAGAGAACAAGAAAAATAGGTTTATTTGTGTTATGGTTATTAATTTGTTATTAATGTTCAACAAAAAAATTAGTTTTATTAAAATGTTCTATTATTTTATGTTAATGATTACTCACTTATTTCAGCCCTTTGTATTCAGCATGTCTCTATCAAAATGAAACTATGTTTCTATAAAAACTGAAGCTTTTTTTTTTTTTTTTTTTTTTTGTGGCCCACATAAACTTAAACCTTGTTTATTTGGCCCATGTTAGCCTGTGAGTTTGACAGTTTGACATGCTTGGTATAGAAGTCTTCTGTTAAAGAAGAATTTTATGTCTTGAAAAACAGTACAATGCACTTTAGAAGATCATTACATCATACACTCTTTAAACATTTGTGATTTAATGAAGTTTCTTAGCTGCATTTAAAAAATGAGAATATGAACTAAATATGAAAAGTTTAAAAACAGAAAAATAGCTTATAGAAAAAAACAACCCATGCCCATCCAGTAAGGCTCAGTGATTGAGCATCAACCTATGAACCAGGAAGTCATGGTTTGATTGCCAGTCAGGGCACATGCCTGCATTGCAGGCTAGATGCCCAGTGTGGGACATGCGGGAGGCAACTGATCAATGATTCTCTGATCATTGATGTTTCTTTCTCTCTCCCCCTCTTCCTTCCTCTCTGAAATCAATAAAAACATATCTTTAAAAACCCAGGATTATCTTCATCTCAAAAGTTGCTATAAGAAATGGGAAACTGCAGCACACTAAGATAATTTCAGGTGTAACATATATTTAATAACATTAAGCTAGGAATTGTAGGGGAATGAGATTCCATTGTTATTCACATAGTATATTCTAGAGAGGATATATGACTTTAAGGAGGTTAAGACTGTAATTTTTCTAAATATCCTTTTTTTTTCTTTTAGAACTTTGTATACCAGGATACTGCACTGGACATTGGGGTAGAAAGCCAAAGGTAACGATAAAAATCTGAGTAAGATGTGTACACCTGGGAACAAACAAGGCTCACAAGAGTCCCAAGGAGCCTTCGATGGAAGAAGGTCTGGGAGGAATATGTTTTGACCATTATCCAGGACAGAAATCACAGGTGCATTCAATTGCCTAAAGCAATTTCAAAATTTATATTGTAGTTTTCCAAGAATCCTTCACCTCCTGTGACTCTATAATCCTGACAGCTAATGCTGCTCTTGTATGCAATGTTGCCACAGATGACAAATGTTTTGTTTAATTTTTATATACGGTCTTCTGTTGTTCATCTTATTCTCTTTAAAAAGAATCCAATATAGCATCCACCCCTCTCCACACACACACACACACACACACACACACACATTATCTGTATCAAATACCCATCTTAATGTCATAGGTCAGGAACAGAGAATTTCCAGGTGAAGGGTCGGTTTCAACCCCAGGAGGCTTTCATTTCACCAGTGATGTTTCAAAGGCAGCTACACTACTGCTATGAATGACCACACTTTGGTGAGTTTCTTCCCATGAGGGCTGTTGAAAGCATCCTGTGCAGGGATAAGACTTTGACCTTTAACCCCTTCACACATTTGTTTTAATTCCTGACTGACTGTCCTGTGCCTGTGCATCAGTTTCACTAGCACTTAGCTGACGTGTTTTTACAAATAAATTTTGTACCCTGAACACCTGTGTGCTGCATGTCACACATTCCACAGAATGAACAGGATGGAGCTCACTGTGATCACTGTGTCCGGGACAATGCAGTGAGACACAGCTGTCCCGTGGAACGTGGGTTGTTACGTTGTCCACCTGTGTTCCCCAATACGGTTCATGTCGTAAAGTTGGTCAGAAAGATGGCTCCAGGGACAGGGGAGAGAGACAGGGAGAGGCGAGCTGAAGGGCTTCTACTCTTCAGGGCTCAGCAAGCTGACCAAACTTCTCCCGATGACAAAGGACAAACAATCCCGAGGAACTGACCCTGTGTGTCTACGGGCGAGTCCATGTGGAATCATTTCATGATCTTTTTTAATGACCTTGATCAAGAGACACAACTGCTTTTCCCTGGGGGAAACCCTTCAACAAAGAACTCCTTGAGTCACTATGAAAGGTTGACTACACTACTTCACACTTAGTCTCACCTGATTCCTTTCAAAACTCACTTTATTTAAGCTAATAGGTATATCCCTACATTTAATCTCTCTTATAGCAGAGCTGCTTAAAACAAATTCTCCCTTTGCTTTTCCTAATTATCTCTCTCACTCTTCCCACCTAGAACCTTCCTCTTCCTCTCTGGTTAGTTCTGTACATGTGTTGTCTTGTGATGCTTACTGTGCAAAAGACCATATTAGTTTTTAACTTGTACTAATTTTCACTCTTTTTGTTATAGATTACATGATAGGTTACACACAATATTGACATGAGTTTTGAATAGACTTCCATTACTTTTAATAGAAATTTTATGAAAATTTATAGAATTTAAAGTAAAAGATAAATTGAAATACTTGCCATTGAGCCTTGTTTTCCTGGGTTCCCTGGTTCACCCTTAAAAAAACACAAAAACAGTGATAATTTTATTAGTGCTTTAAATATTAAAAAACAATTTCAATATATATTTTTCCTTTTTATAGTACCCACTGGGGTGCATGAATGTCAAATATACTTTTCAAGCTAAATAAGGAAATGCAAACACAATGTAATGAAAAAAAAAGCCAACATTCTTTCTTTAAATGCATTCTATAAACATTTTAGGATTTAATAAAGTGAGTCTAGATTATGGTAGAGATTTAAGATTATGCCAAGAATATATTCTAAATAAAATTAGTAGGAGTAATTGTATAAGTCATTAAGTAGTCCTAGAAAAAATATTTAATTATAATCACAGTCATATCTCATTTATTTAATTGCAAGTACAGTAATCTATTATTTACTATTATGTCCTGTTTATAATGACATAAAATGATAACATGGTCTTCTTGTGAGAATTCAGAACTCCCACATATTTGACATAGAGACAACTGCTCTTAGTGCAGGAATTAAATAAGAAAAGGAGCAGAGATTGATTTTAAATTTTAATTATCCTGGATTAATGATAACATTCTTTATTAAAATTGACAGCACATATAAATATAGAATTGTCTGCCATATTACACCACTATCATAACTTTCTAATACTCAGATTCATACATATTTTATTATATTATATCATGTTTTATTATATTATTATAATGACAGTCATTGGCTACAGGTATTTTTTAAAAAAAACATGATTGTAATGCCAGTATATATAGATGTTGTTAGACTTTAAAAATAAGTACCTCTCAGTTTATTTTTATAATATCTTTTCCACTGGTTAAGAGAGTATATAAAAAGCTCTGAGATTATAAATCCAGTTCAAATTATATTTGTGGAATTAAATAAATCATACCTTTGTATTAAAAGCTCCGTTTCTTACTTAGATGAATAAACTACATTCACTTAAAGGCTGACATAATATTTGAATGGTTTACAAAATGTCATACCTTAATTTCCTTGGTTCTTGAAAGTAATTTATGCTTTAAATTTTCTGTACAGTATATATTACCCAATGATCTGACTAATTCTATCCCACCGAAAGGGTCTTAACTATACTTCTTACTTGAGTAGATACACTGTATCTTGTTGGAAACCAGCAATGAATTGGAGAGCTCTAAATATCCCTAAAGCTACAGCTTTTTCTATCTTTTGAGATATCAACCCAAGAAAAGGGGAAATATTAGACAGTTCAGGATGAAGCTACTATCTCTGATGATTCAGTTAAAGCAGTCCTAAATCATATGTTACAAATTAATTCCTCATTTCATATTACAAATTAACAACATCTTTCAGAAAGGGAAGTGGGCTTATAGAAGGTTGTCTCAGAAAAGTTTTAAAGTATTCTATATTCTTACAAACAGAATCATTTTTTGAAGGACAAAAAAAAGAGGCCATAATATAGGAATACAAAAATAAAATATACCAAAACAATGAACATAAATGATTTTTTTTCATTTTGGTTGTCTTTATTTTAAAAAATTTCTACGTCATGGATAGTTTCTGTATCACTTTTGTACTATGAATATAATTATTAAAGTTAACTAATACACTTGCCCAATTGCTATGGCTCAGTGGTTGAGCATTGGCCTATGAACCAAGAGATCATGGTTTGATTCCTGGTCAGGGCACATGCCCAGCTGTGGGCTCCATCCCCAGCAAGAGGCAGCCAAACAATGATTTATTCTCATCATTGATGTTTCTCTCTCTCTCTCTCTCCCCCACTCCCTTCCTCTCTGGAATCAATTCATAAAATAAATAATTTAATTCATCAATAAACCTGAATTTCAAATTCTGACCTCATAATATAAGTGTAAAATTTGTTTGCCCTTTTCTACATATTTATTTAAATTGCTGGGTTGTCTCTACCAAAGCAAATCACTTATCTAGTGTCCTGTGCTGCTATATATTGACACTTGACACTAAGTACTTAGTACTTAGATCTAAGTATGGAGATCACTTTTATTTTTTAATTAAATTTATTAGAGTAACAGCTCACTTTAAATCATTCTTATTAATAATCTTCACACACAAAGGACAAATAATATCCAAACCAGACTCACTTATGTTATAATCATTAATTTTACTGTTTTACTAATTATTTTGGTCAAGTTATTTACAAGAGATTAAATATTAGAAACATTTAAATTCTTTACTCTCCATAAATCATATGGGACTTGATTGCCTCTGCTATCGATTTTTAGAAAAATGTTATTAATGCCCCACCTAGTGTTTCAAGCTAGTCTCCTTTGTTGAACCAAAGGCAACGATGAACTCTGTGTAGTCAGGACACAAGTGACATCATGTTCTCCGATCAGACTCTGGAGGCTTACCTGAACACCGGCTTAGGTGTCTCCCCAGGTCCTTGTGGTTGAATAGTTCCCCAGGATTGAGTAGTAAAGCAGAAGCCTGGCTGGCAGTGCCCTGCTTGGGGGCTTTCCTAGCTTCCCCCCCATCCTTCAACCCACTCCACTCACCCAACCTTCTAATTCCCCAACTCTCAGCCCTTAACGCAAAACCAAACCTGTGAGAACAAGTGATCCAAAAAGCAACTCACCGGCTCTCCTGGCATTCCGCGGGGGCCATCTTTCCCTGTGTCTCCAGGAGGCCCTCGTGGGCCTGGAGGGCCTGGCGGGCCTGGGGGCCCAGCTTGTCCTTGGTCGCCCTACAGTGGAGAGGGGGACAGACCAACCATGACCATGGATGATAAAGACCCAGGTCTTCTCTTCAATACTTTAAATTTGCATTATCTAATTCACATTTACACCATGAAAGAACCAGAGCAAGCAGAAGCATGAAGCCTGTAGGCGATTTGCCTGCCAGCAGGGATCAAATAAATATTCATGCTGAGGAGCTGAGCGGAGCTATTAAAGCCAAGCAGCTCAGAAACCAGCACTCTCAGCTCTTGGAAATCCTGTGTCTGTTATCCCTCAATTCAGAGATGGTATAAAGCCGTTGTATAACTTTATTCATGGCAATGCTATATCCATCTTAATAAAATGCTGCATTTGAAATTAGACAATGTTTACTTTTTCATAACTTATAAAATTAAGTGTACAAGCCTCTTGTCATCCTTTATAATAACTTATACATTATCAAAGCTAGAGACCTTAGAAATTGAGTCTATTACTGGATATAGCTTAATTTGTAAAAAAAAAAAAAAAAAAAAAAAAAAAGACCTTTTTCTTAATTAAAATTTAGACAGGCTCTCTGTACCTTTTATTTTGGTACTTTGATCTATTTTTCAAACAAATGCAGCTCACTAAACATAATTTTATTCTAAGATATTACCAAATAAATACCCTTCCATCCCCACCCCCACCCAAGGGAGATAAATGATAAAGCAACAGTATACAGAGTAATAACTGAATGCAAAGAAGAAATCAGACTTGAGCAAGAATAAGCACTACCTTAATCAAGCGGCGTTTAATGAGCTGCTGATCAGCAGAGAGAAACCCATGATTGATTTTAGGAAACACCATCTGATCAGTCAGGTGAGGTCAAAGGTTGAAGTTCAGAGGTGAGAGAGTTGAAGAATAGACATCAGAAGGCCCCAAGAAAGAAATAAAGATATACGCATTAGAGTTATAATGACCATTAAATAAAACAGAACTGGCACTTGTGTCTGACATCAGACCTTCAGGCTTTTCTTGAAAGAAATGTAAACCTGATTCAGGATGGTGAGACCAGATTTTTAGTGAGAGATGGACCTTTTTTTGGATCCCATCGTTTTGCCGTGGGTTTGGGCCTTTCTAAGGAAGTGTGCTAAAGGGACAGGTAAGCTTGGGCCACCTGCATTCCGTACTCTGAGCAGAAAGTCCTCAGACAAAGTGCCAGTTCAATTTCCGTCAGACTTGCCAACCAGCATAATGTGGCCGGAACGCAACTGCCATTTTGTTGATGCCGAAGTCCAGAGTACTTAGGATGATTTAATTGATTGAAAAATATTTAGAGCTTTGCAAAGCATTCTCATTCAACCCTCCAGGCCCGGCACTGCCCTGAAGAGTTGTGCCTGCCTCTGTCCACTGTCCATGCTCGACTTCAATATCTTAACTCTCTCCTAGGCTCAAGATTCTCCTTCATATATATATTTGACCTCATTGATGGACACGAGGTCCAAGGACTGGAGGAGCTGGTACATTTGGTGAAAGGGAGCGGCAGGACTCGGCAGGCCAGTTTAGCTGTTCTTGCTCACCCTTATGCTGATTGCGGGCTCTGACGGAGGGCATGGGTGCCAACCACAAACCTTGACGGTGAGGATCTGATTACTGTGCAGGGCAGCAACTGTGGGGAAGCCTGGCAGACCCTATGGACAGGGCACAGCACCAAAACACGACACAAAACGTCACACAGACATCTCACTGGTGGACAAACAAAACAAGCATGTACCTAACATCACCCCGTCCCAGCTCTAAGTCTTGCCTTGCTTGACATGCCATAAGCAATCTCAAGACACATGAGAATCCCGCGTGAACCTCCCTTAAAGGGGATGCCAGATTGAGAACCCTTGTAACTGCTCCCTGTGGCATGTACAATACATCGCAGGGCATACTAGTCCTCCCACCATGTCTGGAATCTTATGTACAAAATGTTAGTACAAACTGGAGATAACCACAGACATTGTTATGAAAACAACACTTTGATTTCTCTCTATTGACATTCTGTTGAATCTACAACACAGGACATACAATATGTGCATTAATTTCTTTTTGGACAACCATGAGTAGAATTTTGCAGTCGGATCAAAAGTATTCCTCAGAATAAATGCAGCACGCCTCACAACATACCACCCACAGATCAGAATTTCCCTCCCGCATCATCTGATGGTTCTCAGGCCTTTCCTGTTCCAGGAATTCCTGTAGAGGTGGTAGATAGAAATCTGTCTCTTATAACACGGGCATTTCATGTCAGGGGGGGTTATGGTCACACTCCATAGTAATTACTTCTGTCACGAACCTGTTTTCAAAAAATCTTGACAGTTGACACAACCCCTTGAAGCAGAAAAGTGGGTTGGAATTCCTTAGCCCAGGAGCGCGGGGGCGACTGAGCCGGAGTCCTGTACTTCCCTAACTGTACTCGGGCGGCCCTCCAGGTGGTATCGATTGGGTAGGTCTGAGAGAGAAATTCTGCCTTTGTTCTATGTCTTTTGCAACAACATGTAATATGTATGGGAGCTTTTCACTCCATTTTTCTCATGCAGAACATGTTCACCACACAAACGAAATGATCCACTACCAAGGCGATCCGTGTTGCCTTCCTACATCCTCTCCTCCTCACTGTCCTTCTCCTCTTCCCACCCAAATCTATTTTGAGAATATTTTTTAGGAAAGGCCAGAAAATTTCTCGTTTTTCAATTTTATTAGTTAGGGTACATTTTCTCCTTTATTTCCCCCCTTACTAGGGATATAGTTTTCTTTTTAAAAAAATCAATAAAACTATGCTTCTACCATGAGACCTTTTTTCAGCCCTAATGCCCCAGATTCTCATTCTTTAGAGCTGGTTTCCTCAGGAAGCAGAGCAGAGGAAGTCAGATCCCTTTCCCCAAATCCTTTCCGATAAGGCAATTAAGTGGCTGGGTAGTTTCAAGGTGACCTGTATCCTCCTTTTTCTTCTCCCTGAGTAAAAGTCCTTTAAGCATAGACTCTACACAAATTCAGAAATGCTACAAGTTGGAAAACAGATGTGTACAATTTGCTTTTGTTTTACTAGGGAATATGAGTTTAAAATGTTATTAGATGGTAATGTGCCAGCATCTTTCCATCTGTGACTCATTAGCCCTATATTACACAGTCAGAATTTTATGTATAAACCTCATATTTATGTAACAAAGAACAAAAACAGATACAAACAAGAAGCCTACGAGGGATCAGAATCTTGATTAGTGGCGATAAATCATAATGTCACTTTAAACAGATTATCTAACAAAAATCATTTAAAATTAAAAACCTTTTAATAGCACACATGGCAGGCCTCAGAAATGTTTTGAAATTTGAATGTATAAATAAGTCACTTCTTGTACTCATATCTGAGTGTGATCAGCTTGCTGTTTGATCAGACCCTCTAAATGCTCCAAACAAAGCATTAAGTTTTAGAACTTCTCAGCTTCGTTTCCAGTGTTAACCAGATCTGAAGAGGAAAGTGGAGAGGTAATTCTCACCTCAGACTGAGATTTTCTGTTTGAGGAAGCTGAGTGTATGTCTCTCTGTCATCTGAACTTTGGACATGCTGCCGATTAGGTGCTTAGAACTACATTTTAACAATCTCAGTAGTGAACTAAGCAAAAGGACTTCAAGAGTTTACATGTGGCAAAGTGGAAAGGGGACATGTGGAAAAATTCTAAATGCTAACAAAATATCCCATGGCCTGGGCTGCAATGATCTAGGACCCTGTGTTTTTAAAGTTGTGGTAATGCTTGACGGGTACTTGTCAATATCCCAGGAGTGTTCAAAAGCAATAATAAACATGGTGCATCTTCCTTAAGAGTTCATTTTAATTAACAGCAAATACTTTTATTTTTATTTATTTTTAAATTTCTTGGGGTGACTGGTTAATAAAATTACGCACGTTTCCGGTGTACAATGCTATACTACATCATCTGTATATTGTACTAGAGGGCCGATGCATAAGATTCGTGCACTGGGGGTGGAGGGAGGGTCCCTCAGCCCGGCCTGTGCTCTCTTGCAGTCAGGGACCCTTCGGGGGATGTCCCACTGCCAGGCCTAAGTTGGCAGTCAGACATTCCCCAAGGGGTCCTTAGTGCTCCTCGGAGGTGGGAATGGCTCCTACACTCGCCAGCCATGAGCTCAGCTTCTGGCTGAGTGGCACTCCCCCTGGGCCCCTGGGCCCCTGGGAGCACACTGACCACCAGGGGACAGCTTCTGCAACGAGTATCTGTCCTCTGGTGGTCAGTGCGTGTTATAGCATAAGAGGGTTTTATTTTACAGGATTGTGTGCTCACTACCCAAGACAAGTCTCCTTCTAGCACTATTTATGCCCCTTTAACCCTCTTCTACTCTCCCCACTGTCCTTCCCTCTGATAATCACTATAGCGTTTTCTGTGTCTATGAGGTTGGGTTTTTATTTGTTTGTTTGTTTTTTGTTTAATCCCTTCACCCTTTTCAGCCAGCCCCCACTAGCCATCCTCTCTGACAGCATCAGTGTGTTCTCTGTATTTATGTTTGTATTTTGTTGGCTACTTTATTCTGTTCATTAGATTCTACATATAAGTGACATCATATGGTATTTGCCTTTCTCTGACTGGCTTCTTTCACTTAGCATAATACTCTGCGGGTCCCTCCATGCTGTCACAAAAGTTAAGATTTTCTCCATTTTTCTTCCTTTTTATAGCCAAGTAGTATGCCACTGTGTAAATGTACCACAGCTTTTTTTATCCACTCATCTAGTGATGGGAACTTAGGCTGCTTCCAAATCTTGGCTATTGTAAGTAACACTGCAATGAGCATAGGGGTGCATATATTCTTTTTAATCAATGTTTTGGGTTTCTTTGAATATATTCCTAAAAGTAGAATCACTGGGTTCTGAGGCATTTCCATTTTTAATTTTTTTGAGGGAGCTCCATACTGCTTTACACTGTGGCTTAACAAAACCAATAAAATTATGTTTGTAGTATAAGACTCTTTTCAGGCCTAATGCCAATCTATGTTCCCACCAACAGTGCACCAGGTTTCCCTTTCTCCACATCCTCACCAACACTTGTTATTTCTTGACTTATTGATGATAGCCATTCTGATAGGTGTGAAGAGATATCTCATTGTAGTTTTAATTTGCATCTCTCTGATGATTAGTGACTTTGAGCAATTTTTTCATATATCTATTGGCTATTTGTATGTCCTCACTGGAGAAGCATCTATTCAGATTATTTGTATATATATATATATATATATATATATATATATATATATATATATATAATCTCTATTGTTGAAAGCATTACAATAAAGTTTACAATAGAAATGTTCCCCTTTTGCCCCTATGGACCCCATCTAGCCACCCCACCCCCACTCCAGGTCTTCACCACCCCTATTGTCTGTGAACATGGGTTAGGCATCCTTTGCCCACTTTTAAATGGAATTGTGTGGGGTATTTTTTATGTTGAGTTGTATAAATTCTTTATAAATTTTGGATACTGACCCCTTATCATATGTATAATTTAAAATTTTTTTTTGTTTTGTAAAGCAAATATTAACATAATTTGGGGTAGATTGTAAGATTTGCACACATTATTAAAATGTTACTATTTGAAGATGACAGAGAATATCTTCTCATTGGGGTTACTTGCAGATTCACACACAGATAAACTGACCCTGCTTCTTTTTCTTTTTCTTTTCTTAAAATATATTTTATTGATTTTTTATAGAGAGGAAGGGAAAGGGATAGAGAGCTAGAAGCGTCGATGAGAGAGAATCATTGATCAGCTGCCTCCTGTACTCCCCCGACTGGGGATGTGCCCACAACCATTGTA